CTTGAGACCATGTCGGGCCTTAAATCCAGAAAGGGTCTTTTTCTAATTTGAGTACTCGCCTTAGTCAAAAATCACAAAATTTCCAAATGGAAAAACAAGAATATAAGACGATATTTCTCCCCACCACATATAATTCCCCTCTCCCCACCAACTTCTCACACTCAGATGTGAAGACCTGAGAATTCAAGGAAAAAGTTAGTCCTATACTTTTTACCCGACCCTAATTCAAAACAAGGTGAGATACTCCTTGTGTGTGTGTCCACAAAGAGAAATGCACATTCAAGGCCTGGGAGGCATTTCCTGACTTTCACACCAGCACAGAGATCTCTCTGTCTCCAAACCGAGGGCTCAGTCCCCAGGGCCCTGGGTGCTCACCATCTTCTGGAGTTCATCAGCAGATTCCTGGACCCGCTCTCGGTCATTACTGTCCACCACGAAGATGAGGCCCTAGGTGCGAAGGAAGAAAGGAAAGAAGAGCAATCACTCCCCCTGGGACATAGCCTAGTCTGGCCCTTTCTCCTTCCCATCTTTGATTGTGTCTAAATCTTTCTCATCTCGTAAACTTCCACTAGGGCTCTGCAGGCATCCTGGCACAAACTGGAGACACCCTGCAAAGGATACAGCCTCTGCCCTCAGGCAAGCAGTCTAGCTCAAAGCCGTGCAAGGGAACGGGGAAAGGATGTCATGAGAGCTAAATCAGGCAGCGTGGATCCTGAACCCTGCTTCTCAGGAGAAGCCTAAGGTGGCTAAGTCTCAGAAGACCAAGGCCAGTTCTGAAGGATGAGTAGAGGCTAGCCTGCAAAAGGAGGGTAGGAGGGCTAGAGGATTTTTTCCTGGCCTGGGGGCCCAGCCTAGACCAACATCTCAGTCTTCCTAACCCTAACTCTTCTTCCCCTGCGGTTGGGGAGTGCCCCCTCCTTCCCCCACTCCCCGACCTGAGTGTTCTGGAAGTAGTGCCGCCACAGAGGCCGAATCTTGTCTTGGCCTCCCACATCCCAGACTGTGAAACAGATGTTCTTGTATTCCACTGTTTCCACATTGAAGCCTGCAGATAATTGGAAAAAATATGAGGAAAAAGTCCTGAAAGGAAGGAACTCACTAAAACTACGTGGACTCAGCAGAGACACAAAACCACAAGGCAATGATCAAGGCCCAAGGGAACAGAACCCCCAGAGGCCTGGCAGTCCACAGACGGGGCGGGGCTTGGTCACATCCATCCCGCTCTCGTAAAGATACCCTGAGCCGCTTCTCAGGTAGCCGTATCTGGTGTCAGGGTCAGCTCCCTGCACAGAGATAACGGCCTGGGGCAGAATGGGGAGCAGATTCTGAGAAGGCCCGCCGCCGCGCTCCCACTCCTCCTGGCCTCGCCTCCGGACTCACCTATGGTGGGGATGGTGGTGACGATCTCCCCCAACTTCAGTTTGTACAGGATCGTGGTCTTGCCAGCTGCATCCAAGCCAACTGCAATGGAGAGGGGCACAGGGATGGAGATGGGAGCGAGGGAGCCCCCTAGAGACCAGGGAAGGGGAGAGACCAAGCCAGCTGATGGTGACAGGGGCGAAGAGCCCGAGCGCCGGCAGGTGCGCGCTGTGCTCTACCTTCGGGGCCTTGAGGGCAGCCTGGGTGGTGAATGCCAACTCCTGCCCCCAAGGCGGGCGAGGAGCGGGAGAGGACTGGGGAGTAAGGGGCGCAGGAGGAGGGCCGCACTCCTTTTAAAAGTCGTCTGCAAGGGCGGAATCCTCCCTTATAACCAGCCAGGCTGGGGCGGACGGAGCTTCACCCCACCCAGGCCCGCAGCTCCCGGTCTCAGGCCCCGGGGCTTGGAGCTGCAGACCGCGACCCGCCCGAGAGCAGTGGCCCCGAGAGGTTAGGAGGTGGGTGACTCGGGGTCAGAGACACAGGTGAGCTGGCAGAAGGGACGCGGGGGCGGGAAGGCTGCGTGGGGGCCGGCGCTCCGGTCCGGGCCGCGCGCTTGATCTGCCTCACCCATGAGGATCCGCATCTGCTTCTTCCCGAAGATCCGCGAAAAGAGTGCGGACACGGTGAGGCCCATCGCGGGGCCCAGGGGAGGGGGCGCGGGGACGGACGCGGGGTGCGGGCTGGAACCGGCCGGCCGCGGGGGGGATGGGGCGCAGCAGCAGGAGAAGGAGGCTCCGCCGCCGCCTCCGCGCGTCCCGGCCCGCCCTACGTCACTGCGGGCCCGCCTCCGTCCGGGGCCCGCCTCCAACCCCGCCCCAGCCCCGCCCCCAGGCTCTGGCTCCGAGGAAAACTGAAGCTGCGCTAGTGTCCACAGCCAGCCTAGGTCCCGCGCCGGCTTTAAAGAGGGAAAGGGCCTGGGTCTCCCCTTGTTTCTAGCGCGCCTGTCAGGTCTGTGGCTGCTGAACCCGCAGCCCGAGCGGGGCAGAGGAAAGCCTATAACGCTCCACAGCGGCCCCCCGCTCTCATCTTCAGTGCCTGGCCACTGGGCTTTGATTTGTTGCGTCCCGGTTTAGCCCTGGGTAACTTGCAGCATCGACTGTGTGCACTACCCTCCTAGGAGACCGGAAGTTCTGTGCAAGCGTCTTAGTCCTCCTTTTTGCCCCCTCAGCTCCCAGCGAGGGGCTTTGAGCGTAGTGGGTGGTTCAGTGACCGTAGAATCTCAAGAGGAGCGCGCCGGAGGTGGGGGAAGAAGATGCCCGAGTGCTAGCTGGCCTGTAAGGTTCCTTAAAACACCTGCTTCAAGATCTCCCCAACCAGCAGAACCAGTGGAAGATTCCCAGCTCTGGGCAGGCGGTTGTAAACCCTACTCCTGCATACTGGAGAACTCCGCTTTCGCCCTGATGGCCCTGGAAACAGTGCTTTTCAGTTGATCCAGGCAGCCGTTCTGCAGCTCCTTCCTCACTTTGCCACAGATCTGGGAACCTGGATTTTTAGTGCACACCTATCCAGGATTTTGTGAGGCTCTTGTGGCCCTAGACTCAAAGAGCTTCACAAGTAATTTCCCCACTCATCTTAGCATCTGAGAGGAAATAGCAAGATAGGAATTAATTTAAATTTCTTCTGTGGCGGAGACCCAGTCAATGCCAGGCACCTAATATATGGTTAACAAATGCTTGCTGGGTTGAATGAAGTAATAGGTTGCTCAGTGGAGCAAGGGCAGGCATTTTGCCTATTCTGGATTCCCAGTGAGTTTCTAGGATCAACTGCATATGGACTGGACATGGAGAAGTGAGCTGGGAATCAGAGAACCTTCATTTGTCCATTCACTCATTCAACAAATGTTTATTGAACGCCCGCTATGTTCCAGGCCTCAGCTCAAATCTCAGTTCTGCCTTTTTTTTTTTTTTGAGGGCTTAGGCTTCAACAATCCTCACAACCTGTCATTTTCTCATCTATAAAAGGAGACTAATATCTGCCCTAACTATCTCATGAGGTTACGGTGAAGATTAAAATGATGAGATAATGTATCTGTTTTGTATAATGCAACTGCATGTTATCTGGGCCACTAAGAAACTGGGTCTGAACAGACCTCCAGCCCCATCCTGACCTTTAAAGTCTGTAAAAAGAACAGACTTTGGGCACTAGGTATGAGTGAGTGTATGACATTACTCTTCAGTCACAGACTTGTATTCCTAAGAAGGCTTTTACAAGATTGAAGAGTATATTTAAACGAGTCCCAATATAATAACACAACTAGTGGTCACCAAGTCAAGTCAGTTCTACATGTTTAGCCTTTTTAATTAGCTTCTTTCTTTCCATCCCTGTTGTCACTGTCCTATTTCACTGCCATCTCTTCCCCATGACTGAAATAGCCTCCTCACAAGTCTCCTGCTCCTTGGTATCTCCACCCTGTCATACAAGTCTTGATGATGACACTCTCGAGATTAAAATCCTTTAGTGTATTCTTATCACCGGAGATAAAATGTAAATGCTTTAATTTGGGTCCCCCAACTATTGTGTCAGCCCCATCTCTTGCCACCTCCTTCACATATCCTAAGCAACTGCCTTGAGATGATTCTCAATGTTTCCCCGGGTGAGCCGGGCTCTCTGATGCCCCAGGAGTCTTTGAAATCTTTTCCCTCTGCCTGGAATGCTTGTTTCCCTCATCTCTAGTTAGATGGGCAATCACTACTCATCCTTCAAATCTCAAAGTATTTTCCCTGAGAGCCTTCTCTGCCTCCCCTAGGCAGGCCTCCCTCCTCTTAACTTCCATACCACTTTGAATATACTCATACATACTGGTATGATTGCAGGACTTGTGTTTGCACGTCTGGTTCCTCATTACATGTGAGCTCCTTGAGGGCAGGACCCTGTCTCTTCATGGTGATCACCTGGAACAGCACTTGGTATGTGAGAGCCGCACTGGTCTGGATAGGATTCCTAAACTTACTAGCTAAGGGACCTTGGGCATGTTACTTAACCTCTTTGTGCTTTATGTTTCCATATCTGTAAAACAGTGCTAATAATACCCACTGAGCAGAATTATTGTAAAGACTAAAAAGCAAAACTCTTATGAAGCTCCTGGAACATAGTTGGCACTTAGGATGGACGTCACGGCTATTGGATGCCCTCTACATATATTTGTTGAATCAACTCAGCAGAACTCAGGAAGGGAGCTAATAATTATTATACTACACGCCTACTAGGTGCCAAACACTGTCCTAGAAAGTGGTCTAAATGGGAGCCTTAATTGTTGCTCTTTAGGGACAAAAGTACTGAGCCCCCAAATAGTGGGGATGCGTGCCTCACCTAGGTGTCTGGTACTCACTACGACGTTGCCCCCTGTCGCTCGCTGATCGTAACCCGAGGGCAAGCTCAGTAGCCCTCACCAAACCAACATCGCCCCCGTGTCCTCGAGTTTGCCTGCTTCACTCTTTCAAAAATCTGTCAGCTCTCAGCCTAGCCGAGTTCTCAACAGGCCGCCTCCCACCCACCGGCTGAAGCAGCCCCGCCCACCTCGCGCCCATTGGGGGCGGAGCCTATTACGTCATGCTGTCGTCACTTCCAGCGGACCGGGAAGCGGCCTTGAGGGGCCGCTGTAGTTAGGCAATCATTGCGGGGCTGCGCTCAGCTTAAAGCCTTGGCCGACCGTGGGCCGAGGGCTGGCCGGGGCTGCTGTGGCCCGGGCGAGCAGGGAGCGCGGAGCGGCTTCTGGGGCAGTGCGGGCGAGCCCTGGCAGTGTGCTTGTCTGGTGCTGACGTCGCCCCGCCTCTAGGATAGGACCCGCCCCCGCCCTCCGGGCTTGGGACTCGGCGGGTACTTCTGCTGGGCTGCCCCGCCGCCCAGCATCCGGTCGGACAGCTGGGTGGAGAGAGTGAGCGGCCGCGGGCACAACTCTCCCCGTCGTTTGCAGCCTCCGCCAGCGTCTTCGCCACCCTCTTCCGGGCTGTCCCAACGCTGACGTGGAGCAACCTGTTCTGAACCCTCATGGAGAAGTTTGGGATGAATTTCGGCGGCGGCCCGAGCAAGAAGGACCTCCTGGAGACCATTGAGACGCAGAAGAAGCAACTCCTCCAGTACCAGGCACGTCTCAAGGATGTGGTCCGTGCCTATAAAAGCCTAATGAAAGAGAAAGAGGCGCTAGAGGCCAGCATTAAGGTGCTGTCGGTGTCTCATGAGGCGGATGTGGGCCTTGCAGGCGTCCAGCCTCCAGGCCTCACCTTTCCTGACTCTGTGGATGACCGATGCTCCACTCACAGCGAGGATAGCACTGGGACCGCCACCAGCTTGGACACTGCGGCCAGTCTCACCAGCACCAAGGGTGAGTTTGGGGTAGAAGATGACAGACAGGCCCGTGGACCACCACCTCCAAAGTCCGAAGAGGCCAGCGGGTCGGAGAGTGGCGTCAGCAGTAGCAGTGGGGATGGACCATCCGGGAGTGGGGAGGTGGACAAACGACTGCACCAGCTGAAGACTCAGTTGGCTACTCTGACCAGCTCATTGGCTACAGTCACCCAGGAGAAGTCCCGCATGGAAGCTTCTTACCTGGCTGACAAGAAGAAGATGAAACAGGACTTAGAGGATGCCAGTAAGAAGGCAGAGGAGGAGAGGGGCCGTCTGGAGGGAGAACTGAAGGGGCTGCAGGAGCAGATAGCAGAAACCAAAGCACGACTTATCACGCAACAGCATGACCGGGCCCAAGAGCAGAGTAACCATGCCTTGATGCTGCGTGAGCTCCAGAAACTGCTGCAGGAGGAGAGGACCCAGCGCCAGGACTTGGAGCTTCGGTTGGAAGAGACTCGAGAAGCCCTGGCGGGGCGGGCATATGCAGCTGGTCAGATGGAAGGGTTTGAGCTGCAGACCAAGCAGCTGACCCATGAAGTGGAGGAGCTGAAAGGTGAGCTGCAGGCTCTTCGAGATGAGAAGAATCGGCCAGACCCCCGGCTGCAGGAGCTTCAGGAAGAGGCTGCCTGCCTTAAGAGTCATTTCCAGGCCCAGTTGCAGCAGGAAATGAGGAAGGTAATTATCTTCGTCTTCTGCAAACATTAATCATTTAGCTGAAGTGGGAAATATTAGGGTTTTTTCTTCTTTGGTAGTTAGAACTAAGTGGCTGCACTGTCATTTTTGATGCTATTCACAAAATTCCACTTGTGAGTCTTGGGAAATCCTATTCTGTGCAGTATCCACAGAGTGTGCTTCCAACAGGATGTGGAGTTTCTGAGTGTAGGCTGGGTCAGAGCCAGGCAGCTTTGAGCTTCTGGGCATTGGCATCTTACCAGCTGCGCTCTGTGAAGCAGTATAGTGGCAGCTGTGCAGGGAAAGGTAGTGTACGTGCCTATAGGTATATACCTATATAGGTAGACATATATGCCTATGGGGGGGTGGCTGAAGGGGGTGGGGTGGCTGCAGGGCGTAAAGGGAATTTTCTCAAGAAATAATCTCTTGTAATTGCTTTCAGTCAAGATTTGCCTGTTCTGGAAAGGTATGCTATTTTACGGTGCCTCCTTTCGGTGTGAGAGAGATCCAACTCAATTTTGAACTTTCAGGAATATTGGAAGAGGGCAAGAATGTCATATGATTGCTTAATAGGATTTAGGGAAGCACATGATACAGATAACACACTTTATGTGTGAGCTCTGTATGTGGTAGGAGAGAGTGGAAGCCCTAAAGCAGAACAACAGCAGATATACAAAGGTTCTTAGTATCGTTTGGTATAAGTCGTGTTTGGGAGCAGAACCCAAGCAGGTTACAGGAATTTTGTTAGCTCCCAAATCATCAGAAAAGCCCAGTTCCCGTTCTGGCCAGACCATCCCAATCCTGTGACCATTTTGCTCCCCTTTCTTGCTTTCTCAAAGTTTGCCTGGGGCTTTGTGGCTTTTCTGCATGCATTTCCATCTGTCCCCTTGTTTTACAGACAGCCCTTGCAGAAGATCTACTCCGCCAGCAATCTCAGGCGGAAGAGCAGAGGGTGGCAGCCCTGGAGAATCAAATATCCGAGGTGTCGGAACTGCTGGGCACCTATGAGAAAGCCAAGCAGAAGGACCAGCTGGCCATCCAGAAGCTGAAGGAGCGCATTCTGCAGCTGGACCTGGAGAACAAGACGCTGGCTCTAGCAGCCTCCAGCCGGTCCCCTTTGGACAGCCATGGAGAGGAGTCCAGTCTGGATGTCAATGTCCTAAAAGACAAGATGGAGAAGCTGAAGAGGCTGCTGCAGGTTGCTGCCAGGAAGAGCCAGGTGACCTTGGATGTGGAGAAGCTCTGTGACTTGGAGATAATGCCCAGCTCAGAGGCTGCCGATGGGGAGAAGGCCACTGCGCTCTACTACCAACAGGAGCTGAAACAGCTGAAGGAAGAGTTTGAGAGGTACAAGGTGAGGGCCCAGGTCGTCCTCAAGAGCAAGAACACCAAAGATGGTAACCTGGCCAAGGAGCTGGAGGAAGCCCAGGAACAGCTCGCAGAGCTGAAGGAGAAGTATATCTCCCTGCGGCTGTCCTGTGAGGAGCTCGAGCGCCAGCACCAGCAGGAGGCCGAGGACTGGAAGCAGGAGCTGGCCCGGCTGCAGCATCTCCACCGTCAGGAGCTGGAGCGGAGCCAGCTGGACTTCAGGGACCGCACGCTGAAACTGGAGGAGGAGCTGCACAAGCAGCGGGACCGTGCCCTGGCTGTGCTGGCCGAGAAGGACTTGGAGCTGGAGCAACTGCGTTCTGTGGCCTTGTCCTCTGGGCTGCCAGGACACAGAAGCCCTGTGGGGGGTGGGGGTCCTGGGGACCCAGCTGATACATCTTCCTCAGATAGCTTGACCCAAGCACTGCAACTAGCTGCGGCCAGTGAGCCCACTTTCTTCCTGTACGCTGAGCAGTTGGCCCGCAAGGAGGTGGAGATTACATCACTGAGGAAGCAGAAGCACAGGCTGGAGGTAGAGGTGCATCAGCTGCAGGATCGGCTGCTGGAGGAGGGGGAGCGGCATCGCGAGGAGGTTGGCGCCCTGCAGAGCCACATTGAAAAGAACATCAGGGACCAGAGCAGGGAGGGAGCCAACCTGGAGTACCTCAAAAACATCATCTACCGCTTCCTGACCTTGCCTGACGCTCTGGGCCGCCAGCAGACGCTCACAGCCATCCTGACTATCTTGCATTTCAGTCCAGAGGAGAAACAAGTGATAATGCGGCTTCCAACCAGTGGTAGCTGGTGGTCTTCTGGCAAGAGATGATGCCATTTTCACTAACTCCTGAAATTTCTGTGCCTCTTATGTGAGAAGGGACAGCCTCTGGTGTCTACTGCCTCTTCTCTTACATTATCATTTATTTCTTCACTGTGTTGATCTGGAAGGAGTTTTCAATGTGGGATGGGATTTTCTGCCAAATGCCATTAATGCCACTTTGTCCTGGGGGCCCTAGAGATACCAGAAGTGTTGGGACAGCTTCTTCTGGTGGGGTGTGTGTGTGCGTGTGTGTGTGTGAGGGAAGGGGTGGGGGAGGTTAGGATTGAGAGGTGCAAAAGTTGGGGAAGTGGTGAGAATCTTTTAAAATAAGATATTTTGTTTTAATATTATACTCCTAGCACAGAGCTAGGAGTAAATGTGACTCCAACGGGAGTTCACTTAATTTCTGAACATACACAGGACCAGCTGTTTACTCCATCTCATCACAATCTGAGTCTGGTCCCCTGCTGCCCCAATTCTCTGGGGACATAAATCCAGGCTGGAGAGGGAGCAGGAAGTTTGAAATAGTGACAGATTGTCCACTAATCCAAAGGGCCAAGGAATAGTGAGTTCATCCTAGAACTGGGAGCTTGGTCTAGTTAGGGCCTGGGCGTGACTTAATCTAGACAAAACACACCACTTGCGACCATCCTAGAATGGGCCCTGAGCACCAGCTCCATCTTAGGGATTTCCTGAGTGACCTGCCTTTGGCCTAGATGGGGTTATAATAGACCTCTGGTGCTTGTCCCTGTCCTAACCCCTCTGCCTAAGGCTGGCCTGAGAGTGTGAGGGAATGACTTTGCTGTCTTTTCCTCACTGTTGAACTTGCATTAAGAAAAAAGTCTTAGCTTCTTACAGAAAGGTGTCCGATTGGGAAGTTCTGATCCTGCCTGGGTACAAGGAATTAGCTCAGAGATCCTGCCTCCCCCCCCCCCCCCCCCCGCTGCTTCTGCCTTTGTAGGGACAGGGAAGAGGAGGCAGATTTGCTGTAGAGGATTCCAGAAGATTGCTGTGACCCTCACAGGAAAGTGGTGGAAGTTCAGCTGAGGCTAGGCCAGGGTACTTGCTGCTCCATGGATAGTATTCTGGCTAAATCTCCACGTGCCTGCAGCCAAGGTGGTCATGGGTTGCTGTCACCAGGGTATTTTGCCCACTCCCGTAGGGAGGTAATAGTTTCAGTCCACAATCCTCATCTTCCCCACACGTGTTACTCTAACTTTTCCACCTTCCTGGGGTTTCTTAGGTTTGGTCTTGTGTAAGTAGATTCATTCTGTACTTATTATCCAGGCAGTCTGGAAAGGAGGGACTCAGAAAGTTGGGTTCAAACAGTATCAGTTCCCCTATTCTTTCCTTTGCCCATCTGCTCTTGCTGGTTATGGAGATCTTTGGACCCTAAAGACCAATGCTTTGCCACTGACTGGACTAATGTGTATCTTTCTGTTATTGCATCATAGAGATCTGTTTTGTGAGGGTTTGGGTACAGAAGACTTTGATTAAATGTTCTGATTGGGAGGAGGCTGAGTGACCTGGAGTATCTATAAACCGTGAGCAGACCTAATGGAACAGAAGTGATGTGTTCAAGTGATAATAACGTGAACCAAGGAATCATTAAACCTGAACAACTTGACCTGTGTGTTTCTTTAATGGTATATATATGTCTGGACACAGATAAAGTGTGAATGTAAATGGTAAGTGAAAAGAATGAAAGTAATATTTCATTATATTAATCCATGAGCTTGAATCTTGGGAGGAATATCTCAGTGCCTTAACTGCCTCAATACAACACAAAGTTTTTAGCTTGAAATTGTGTGTATGTTTGTGTGTAGGCAGCTACACTGGAAAAAGCTTTCTTGTGGCTTTAGTGGGTGGGCTTGAAACTTCCATAATTACTGCTTTAAATGGTAGAAGTAATCTGTTTATGAATGCTTTATTATGCTTCAAATCAGGACTCATGGTATCCTGGAAAAGTTTCTCAGGACATCAAGCTAAACTAAATAATAATAATAATCTCTCAGTTTTCTTACCTGATCCCTTAAAATGTAGGATATATTATTGTTGTTATCTCTAGGTGGTTTTGGGCAGAATAGAAAGATCCATAGTCACAGCTGCTTTCCTAGGACTAATAATTCCTGTGCTTTTGACTTTTGAGAAGATACCAGACGCACAAAGAAGCAAGTCAATTTCTATTTACTAATTTTAAGTATCGACATACATAAGGCTGTGAATGCTCTGAACTGAAACGAAAAGACTTGGGCCTTTCCTACCCTTAAGGACACAAGTTCCTGGTCTCCCCACCCCTTCCCCCTAATAAGTTTTGCAGTTATTTGTCTGGTTTGCCTGTGCTAAGTACTCTAAGAAAGGAAAGGAGAGAGAGAGAGAATTGAGAACAGATGTAGTCAGAGAAAAATTTTCTTTGGGCCCTGGTTCCAGAATATCAGACAGTGCACGAGGTGAGTCCATAAGGTAATGAGACTGAACCTTACTTGTTTCACTGTTAACACGCACGTCAGAGGAGGGTTGCTGAGAAGAATGGAGGGAGAAGGTGGAGGGAAGGCAAATTGACAACTGTAATGGGTTTCTGCTTTTCCTTTTTTTTCCTCTCCTTTTGGGTACCTTCGATCTGGGGAATAAATGTCCATATTGCATGCCCTTGATGTTGTAAGTTCCCATCTCTTACCCAGAAGTCTAAGGCTCTCGGCCTTGTCCTGAGAAGCTGCTACTACAGGGTTGTTTTTGCTAACTCTTGTTGAGTATGCCAGCACCACATTGAGCCATTTACACCCCTTATAATCATTTACTTCTCACAGGTGTTATTATCCCCCATTTTAAAGATGAGGAAACAGAGGCTGAGATGTTAAATTTGCCCAAGATCAGGTAACTAGTAGATGTCTGAACCAGGTCTGATTAATCGCGAAGCCTGCTTAAATCTGAGTGTGCTCCTGTCTTCTCAAGACTTGGGAGGGTCAGGGCCTATCTCCATAGATGATTTCTAGAGATGGAGAGACTGATCTCTAGGCTGAACAGGGCTGGTTCAAATGGAGAGAAAGTCTCCAGCTACATATTGCAGCCAAGCAAAGTTGCTACAATATAGAGTTGAACAGGCAACGTTGGTTATTCATAAAGCCCTAAAGCTGCTCTGTCCCCCAGTTCTAGATGACTGCTAATTTTAGAACTTGAATCATTCTAACAAAATAAAAGGAGGGCTGGGTACCAGCTATTGCTATAGTGGGTTCCTACTGTAACCTCTAGTAAAGCTGGGGAAACAGCTTTGGGAATTGGAAATAGAACCCTAATGATTGGGTCACTTTACCCAATCTTCAACACGTTTACTCTCTCCCCTCCACTTTCTTCCCCTGCCTCCCCCAGGCAGCCTGGTTACCTCAGATTGATGGTTTTTGGAGCAAAGAACTAGATTCAGACATTCGGGGTTGAAATCTCCTGCCAGCTGTGTGACCTTGATAAATTACTTAATCTCTCTGAACTTTTCTTGTAATGAGGATAATAATACCTATTTCAAGGTTATATCCTCAGATTAAAGAAAAATTAAGTACGTGAGGAACCAGCACAGTACCTGAAACAAAGTAGGTGCTAACCCACATTAGTTTCTTTTTTTCCAAGAATGTTAGGTGGCAGAGTTGGAAGTTAGACTGAGCTCCTCTGGGTTTAAGTCCAGTGTTTCTTAGCTACAAACGTTGCTGTAAACAAAAGGAAAAATAATGACTATCTTTTATCAAATGCCTGCTGTGAAACAGACTGCTAGCATTTTCCCTACATCATTCTACTTAATTCTCACAACAGTCTTGTGAAGCATATCTATTTGGCAAATGAGGAAATGGAGGCTTGGCAAGATGAAATGAATTGCCCAAGGCCCAGAGCCAGTAATGGCAGATCCAGGATTCAAACACATTTATCTGAACCCGGTGGCCCAGGATCTTTCTGCTGTCTGTCTCCCAGCAGAGGGCAAGGTGGAATACCGAAAATGTGTGGCTTGCTGAGAGATTTAGGAGGCTGTTACTGGCATAGGCTGGGGAAGAAGGGGTCCTTGTCTGAGAAGTCCTCTCTTCAGTGGCAACTGATTGCCTTATAATTTCTCGGAAGCCTCATTCTTTCCTAGCGGCAGAGCTCTTTCACACTGAAAATTATGAGATGGACTCTTTCGTTATGAGTCTGTTCTATGTGAGTTTGAGTAGTGACAGCCTGCTTTTCCTGGGATCCAGATCTCCTGGATAACCTCAATATCAGAGGTTCTGAAAAACCCACAGTGCAGGGAGCCCAGAAAAGCAAAGGCCACTTGGAGGCTAGTGACCCTCACAAGGAGGCAAACCCTGGCCCTTGACGTTAGGGAGGAGACCATCTCTGGTTTAGAGTAAATTCGTCCATCCCTGTGGGCTGCTGTCGAGGGACCAAACATTCTCTTTCATATCTCAGAGAATGAATCTGAAGACTGATACTACTTTACATAAATATGAGTTTTTAAATGTAGATTCACATTTCACAGGAATTTCACAGGCCCCCTTAGGGGCGTCCTGCCCTGGCATCGTGTCTACTCCACTGGCATATGTGTCCAGCTTGGAGCCTTAGCCAGCTGAGATGAGATTTGAAGGAGTTTGGATGCCAAGCTTTTTTGTGTTGGTTTTGAATGCTTACATTGTATCACTTGGTCAGTTTACATTTTCCAAACTGAGAATCCTTAGGCACACTGTTCCTTCTACCTTCAAAGTCCCTCCCCCGCCCATCCCTACCCTCTGCAGTATGGTCCTATCTGATACCCAGAGATGCTCAGGTACTTTCTTCTCTGAGGTTCTTCAGCACTTTCTCCATAGTGGCCTTGGGCACAACAATTTCTCATACTTTCATTTTTAAATTTACTTCTCTATCTCCTTGACTACCCTATAAATCCCTCCAAGTCATGCCACATTCATCTTTGTGCCATCAGTTTTCATAACCTGGCATATACTAAGTGCTCAATAAATAGCTGAATGAATGAAAGAGACTGAAAATACCAATCTTTATATATATATATATATATATTTTTTTTTTCTTTTGGAGGGGAAGATTTGCCCTAAGCTAACATCTGTTGCCAATCTTCCTCCTTTTTCTTTTTCCCCCCAAAGCCCCAGTACATAGTTGTGTATAGTTGTAAGTTCTTTTGGTTCTTCTATGTGAGCCACTGCCACAGCATGGCTACTGACAGACAAGTGGTATGGTTCTGTGCCTGGGGAGCCAAACCTGGCCACCAAAGTGGAATGCACTGAGCTTTAACTGCTAGGCCATCAGGGCTGGCTCTGAAAATACCAATCTTGTACAATTCTGTAATCTAATCCACCATCTGCGTTCCAATTTGTCAATAAACCCAATAATATCCTGTATGGGATTTCTCCCCTCTAGTATAGTATCCTGTCTAGGATCACATATTGCATTCAGTTGTCATGTCTCTTTAGTCTCCTTTAATCTGGAGCAATTCTTCACCTTTTCATTGTCTTTTATGACGGTGACATTTTTTTAAGAATACAGCCCTCCCCCCTACTTCTAATAGAAGGTTCTTCATTTTGAGTTTGTCTGATGTTTCTTTATGATTAGATTAAGGTTATGCATTCCCTGCCAGAATACTATATAAGTGATGTTGTGATCTTCTCAGGGTATCACATCCAGAGGCAAATCATATCCATTTGCCCCTCATTGGTGATATTAATTTTGATATTCAGATAAGGTGTCTGATTTCTTCACTGTAGTTTATATTTTCTGCCTTGCTACTAATAAGAAATCTATGGGAGACACTTTAAGTCCATGTGGATATCTGCTCCTCATCAAAATTGCCCCCCTATGTTTAGCATCAACTGATACTAATTCAATCTTTACTATGATGGTTGCAAAATGATGATTTTTCAACTCTAGCACTGCTGCGTCATTTACCTTTTGGTCCTCAGCACTCTAAGGAAGAGCCCTGCCTTCTCCATAACTTATTTAGTAATTTATTTATTTATTATCAGTATGAACTGATTGATTCCTATTTTTCAGTGGTTTATAATTCACTATTTTACTTGATCATTTTTGCTCAAAATTTCACAGATTTGGTAAGAGCCCCTTCAAACTCCTGTGTTCTTATGACATGCCTCCATCATTTCTTGGAGTACTTCCTTACTTTCTGGCATAAAAACATGTTTCTGGCTCATCTTGTAGTTTCTCTACCCCAGTCCTGGAATCAACTATTTCTCTGGGGATCTCTGGTTTCTTTTGGTGGAGAGTGGTATTAGAAACCAATATCTGGGAGCTGTGTGAGCTCATTGCTGCTGGGGTGTCTTTGCTTCTAAGTCTTTAAGCAGACAGACTTAGGGAATATACGCCCATATTGTATATATACACACACACACACACACACACACACACACATACATATGCACCTATGTAGCTATACACCCACACATACACTTTAAAAAATCATGATTTCACACCAATATCTCCAATTCCAATGCATTTCCACACAGTTTTTCCTTACCATCCCCCATTCCATATTTGTATTTCCTTTCTTCTACAGCAGAACTCTGGGATGGAGTCCTTTAGTGTTTCATTAATATTAAATGTTTCATTAACATTTAAAAAGTAGGCTGAATGAGGGCCGGCCCCGTGGCTTAGTGGTTAAGTGTGCGCGCTCCGCTGCTGGCGGCCTGGGTTTGGATCCCGGGCGTGCACCGACGCACTGCTTCTCCGGCCATGCTGAGGCTGTGTCCCACATACAGCAACTAGAAGGATGTGCAGCTATGACATACAACTATCTACTGGGGCTTTGGGGGAAAAATAGATAAATAAATAAAATTAAAAAAAAAAAAAAGTAGGCTGAATGAAACAGCACACAGAGACAGACAGGAATGACCAGAAAAGGAGGGGAAAACCAGCAGAGGGGGTGTCCAAGAATTCAAGGGAGAAATGAGTTTCGTCATGGAGAGAGTGCTCAGTTGCGTCAAATTTTAAACCACTTTGCGACAGGATGTAAAGTTTAAAAAAGCTTTTAAACATTCACGCATATCTCTGCTATGGAACTCGGCAACTGTTTTCATTTCGATGCTCTCTTTCAATATCTGTCCACAGGAATACTTTCCTTTACGCTGCCCAGTTGTAATGTTTTGCATTATAGTTTGGTGTTTTGCTTTTTGCTTGAGATAATCTTGTACCACGTGTTCGTTTTCCATGTGTCCTCCTGCACTTCAGTCCCACCTGATTTAATGACTGTACTGATTAAAGAAGAAGGAGGCCTCCTTTCTCTCGGCTTCCATGGCTTCCCTACACACTCGTTCATTTGCCCCTTCATTTGCTCACTCTCCCCGCCTCTGCTGAAAAGACAGTGACAACGCTTACATAGGGTTTGCTAAGATTTAAGATTAAAACATGTAGAGTTGCTGATATTCAACCCTTAACAACAGCAATTTCATACGGTTTCAATCTAACATATGCCAGGTACTGTATTTACATGTATTAAAAGACCTGATTTAAGAG